GGCTAATGACTTGATTATGATTTGAGTCTTCTAGAACTGGTGGGCAATATTCTTTTCTTTCTTTATTTCTGTCTTTCTTTCTTCATTCTTTATTTTACAATTCCTTCCATTTAGGTCTTAATTTCGACCAAAGTTTGGGAGGCATTTCATGACTAACTTTTTGCATGGTGCTAGGAATGCTCATTCCCAGGTCAGGCAAGGATTTCATTGATAGGTTACTCATTGTGCTCTTACTGGACTAGGCCTCATTAGCAATAGCCCAAATCCTCTGCACCACTTGTCTTACTAGTCTGTTATGGTCCAGGACATACTTCCCTCTTGTTGCTTCTTCTCGCATTTGGAGTTACACTATTACAATCATTGATCTTATCACAACAAAAGAAAATCACAGGCCAATATCACTTATAAAACTGGATGCAAAAATCCTTAACAAAATACTAGCAAAACAACTCTAGCAATAATTGAAAAGATCATCACCATCATCAAGTGGAATTTATCCCAGGGATGCAAGGATTTTTCAATATCCACAAATCAATCAATCTGATACCACATTAACAAATTGAAGAATAAAAACCATATGACCATGCAGAAAAAGCTTTTGATAAAATTTAGCATCCATTTATGATAAAAAACTCATCAGAAAGTGGGCATAGGTGGAAAATATCTCAACATAATAAAGGCCATAAATGACAAATCCACAGCTAACACCATACTCAACAATGAAAAGCTGAAAGCGTTTCCCCTAAGATCAGGCACAAGACAAGGTTGCCCACTCTGACCACTTTTATTCAACATAGTTTTGGCAGTCCTAGCCACAGCAATCAGAGAAGAAAAAGAAATAAAAGGAATCCAAGTTGGAAAAAAAAAAGTAAAACTGCATTGTTTGCAGATGACATGATACTATACATAGAAAATCCTAAAGACACTACCAGAAAATTATTAGAGCTCATCAATGAATTCAGCAAAGTTACAGGATACAAAATTAATATACAGAAGTCTGTAACATTTCTATACACTAACAATGAAATATCAGAAAAAGAAACTAAGAAAACAATCCCATTTACTATTGCATCAAAAAGAATAAAATACCTAGGAATAAACCTACCTAAGGAGGCAAAAGACCTGTAGTCCGAAAACTATAAGACACTGATGAAAGAAATTGAAGATGACACAAACAAATGGAAACATATACTTTGTTCTTGGATTAGAAGAATCAATATTGTTCAAATGCCTAGACTACCTAAGGCATTATACAAATTCAGTGCAATCCCTGTCAAATTACCAATGGCATTTTCCACAGAACTGGAACAAAAAATTGTTAAATTTGTATGGAAACACAGAAGACCCCTAACAGCCAAAACAATCTTGAGAAAAAAGAATGAAACTGGAGGAATCATGGCCCCTGACTTCAGACTATCCTACAAAGCCACAGTAATCAAAACAGTATGGTGCTGGCACAAAAACAGACCCATAGATCAATGGAATGATAGAAAGCCCAGACATAAACCCATGTGCTAATAGTCAATTAATCTATGATAAAGGAGGTAAGAATATATAATGGAGAAAAGACAGTCTCTTCAATACGTGGTGCTGAGAAAACTGGACACTTACATGTGAAAATGAAATTGGAACATTCTCTAACACCATATACAAAAATAAACTCAAAATGGATTAAAGACCTAAGTGTAAGATCAGATACTATAATACTCCTAGAGGAAAACACAGGTAGAACACTCTTTGTCATAAATCACAGCAATATTTTTTTTTGATCCTTCTCCTAGAGTAATGGAAATAAACAAATGGGAGATAATTAAACTTAAAACTTCTGCACAGCAAAAGAAACCATAAAGAAAATGAAAAGGCAACCTAAGGAATGGGAGGAAATATTTGCAAATGACATGACTGACAAGGGATTAATTTCCAAAATATACAAATAGCTCATACAGCTTAATTTGATAAAAACAACTCAATCAAAAAAATGGGCAGATGACCTAAATACACATTTCTCCAAAGAAGACATCTGGGTGGCCAATAGGCATATGGAAAGATGTTCAGCAATGCTGATTATTAGAGAAATGCAAATCAAAACTACAATGAGGTATCACCTCACACCAATCAGAATGGCCATCATTAAAAAGTCTACAAATAATAAATGCTGGAGTGGGTGTGAAGAAAAAGGAACCCTCCTACATTGTTACTAGCAATGTAAATTGGTGAAACCACTATGGTAAACAGTATGGAGTTTCTCTGAAAAGCTAAAAATAGTTACCAATTCGAAAGACAAATATCATGTATCACTTATATTAGGAATCTAAAAAAAAAAAAAAACAAATGAACTTATTTACAAACCAGAAATAGAAACACAGACATAGAAAACAAGCGATGGTTACCAAGGGCTGGGAGGGATAAATTAGGAGTTTGGGATTGACATATACACACTAGTATATATAAAATAGATAAACAATAAAGACCTACTGTATAGAACAGGGGACTATATTCAATATCTTATAAAGTATAATGGAAAAGAATCTGAAAAAGAATATTTGTATATATATGTATAACTGAATCACTTTGCTGTACACTAAAAACAACAGAACATTGTAAATCAACTACAATTTTTAAAAAAGGATAAACAAACCCCCAAATATTGAGCTTATAAAACTATGTATTTGGTCAATTCTTTCAAGTTGCCTAGTCACCATTGTTTTTATCGGAGGCTTAGTTACACATTTGGTAATGCAAGAAATCATAATCTTGTAAAACAGGCAGAGTACAAGTAATACAGCTTTTAACATTAAGATCCTAAGTATATAAGCTTAGAACTTACATTAGACGTGGCCCAGTATCTCCACAGGTTATCTGACTAGTCTGTGCTGTACCAATCACCGTCTTTAGAGGAAGTGATATACTGGCATTGTACAAAAAGTTCATCAAAGATGTTTGCACACGTAAGGCGAGTGGTTGGTCGTGACCTCTTACAGGATTAAGAAAGGAACAGTTATCTTCTAAGGAGTTACATGGCTGGCCCCAGAAGAAGAAAAATTGATCTTTAAGGTTGAATAGGTATTTCTGCCATTGGAAAGCTTTGGTTAACACATAACGCAGATGCACCATGCACACTGGAGGGGATGGAGGAGGCCAAAGGCAGAGAAGAAGTTTTACCTTTACATTTTTGTCTTGCCTTAAAGTGTGAATTTTATTTCATCAAGAGTATTGATAAAACCAGAAGAGATTTGGAGCTGAAGTCTATGGTTTTTAGCTTATCGCCCCAAGGATCCACCATCTGCTGTGATAACAGGTATAGTCTCTGCCCTAGGCATGGTTAGCCAGGAAAGAGCTCTGTTTATCACCTTTCTGAGTAGCAAATTGTACCGTTAAGGCCTAAAGTTTCTGATTCAGGGCGATAAGAGATCCATTAGGAAACCCCAGTAGTCGTCTCAGTCGGGGGAAGATGGCGCTGCAGCCGCCCTCGGGCTACGACGGAGATGGCCTGAGGAGCATTAAAGGGCCGCTCAGAGGTCCGCCCTGTTCATCAGATGGACACAAAAACGGGCACAAAACCCTTCACAGAAGCCTCTTTGAGTGACAGTCTTCCGCGCCAGTCGCCAAGGGCTGTCAAGGATTTTCAAAAGGGCCGCGCAAGGGGCAGGGACCCACAGCAGGGCGGGGAGTGACACCCACCGGAGCAGCAATAAGGAGACTCCCGGAAGAGGGTGGTGTCGCCGGAAGGATGACGTAAAAAGGCGTCGCGCCGAGGGTGACGCGTGGCGTAGATGACGTCCGGCTGCGCCTGTCACCCCCCGGGCTTGTTGCAGAGGAGGAGCAGGCGCCATGGCGGTTCTGCTGGAGACCACTTTGGGCGACGTCGTCATCGACTTGTACACGGAGGAGCGGCCGCGCGGTGAGGCCCGAGCCCCGCTCACCTCTTGCTGGGCATCGGTCTCCTTTCCCCACTTTGCGTTTTCTGCCTAGTCTCCGGTTTAGAAAGGTTCCAGCTTCTGGGCTGCTGGTGCCCTCGACCGGGCTGTTTCATTAGAGGGTCTTGGTTAGAAAAGTTTTTTGTTTTTCGAGGAGCAGCCCTTCTCCCGCATCCGGTGATGGCCAGTCGGGTGGCGGGTACTTGTGGTTATTAAATACCTCTGTGTATGTGTGTGATACAGGCTGCGTATACAATGCCCATAGCTCCCGTGGCTTTACTGCGTTTTACTAGCCAGAGGAACACAACTCGTATTTCTTGGTGTGTAATCAGTAAGTCTTTACGAAAGCAGGGAAATTGGGCTTGGAGCAGTGAGTATGGACATCCCTCCTGGATGGAGAAAGGGCTGTCCGGAGATGTGCACCCAACCTTAAGAAACACTCCTTGACCGCCCACTATGCGAGACTTCGTGCCAAGCCCAGGGATGGGCGTCTTGCCCTTCAGGGTCTTGTTTTTCCATTGGTGGGAAGGAGGCGCGGCAGCCCATTTGATTTCTTAAGTGTTGTAGTGGAAGAACGTTGCCATGGAAACCAGAGAACTGGAGTAATTCTTCCTGGTTGGGGGCGGGGGAAGCGAAGCTAGCAAAGAATACAGAACACTTGAACTAGTTCTTTCAAAGGTGAGTGGGAACGAGGGTTTTCGTAACAGTTTGCTTGGAATTTTCTGGAAATAGCAAGTAGGCTGGCGTGGCTTGACGGTGGAATGGCAGGCTGCGCGTCTGCTCGTATACGTTTTTAGGTTAGGTCAGGTCGTGAATAGCCTTGTGTGCTCTACTGATGACCAGAGTCTTTGAAAGGTTTAAAAAGCAGGGAGGTAGCAAACTTCTTGTTTTGGGAAGATAATAGGCAGCAGTGTGGAGAATGTATCAGAGTGGGGAGAAACTGGAGCCCAGAAGAAATTAGTTACTATCGGAGTCCTGCCCCCCGGAATGCGGATTATCAAAGAGGATGAAACAAGCTACAATACAGTAAGAGTGCCTCCTGACATACTACATTTTATCCCACACTCAGCTATCCCCGCACCCCCACCCCAGCACTACAGACTCAACCATACATCAATGCCTTTTTTATACTATTACCTCTATCCTACATTTCTCTCCACTGTTGTCCTTTTGGCAAACTTCCTGCTTACTCTTCATATCACAGGTCAAGCATGATCTCTTCTGTGAGGCTCTCCCGTGTCCCTAAGCAGAGTTAGATCGGTTTCTTCTGTTCTGCCTCAGGTCTTTTATAAATCACACAACAGGTATTTTGTTGTAACATTTACCTCTTGTCCTGGAATTATTTGCAAGTCTTGGTCTCCTCTCAAGAATGTAAACTCTAAGAGAGCCGGGACTGTGCCTTAGTTATCTCTATATCCTGAGCACCTAGTGCACTGTCTGACACTTTCAGGGCACACACCAAACATTCATTATATTGAGTAATGCAAATTGCATTGTTGCATTACTGTTTTGCATTAGGACTTGCATTAGGACTCTCTCTCTGTGCAAGTGGCAGAAAGTCAGCCCAAACTGGCTCAAAGAAAATAATCGATCGCCTCATGTTACTGAGATAAGCTTTAAGGATAGCAGGGTCCAGGGATTCACTTATCAATCTATGGTAAATATATTCAGAATTATTTTCCTCCCTCTCTCTTCTTTTTCTTTCCCCCTTTTTTACTTTTTATTATAGAAAACTTGAAACATATACAGAAATAGAAAGAATCATGTAAATGAACCCTCATGTCCTGATGATCAGTTTCATTTAACAGTTGTGAATACATGTTTCATTTATATCCCCACCTCCAGTGGATTTTTTTATAATAAATTTTTTACATGGCATTTATTTAATCTGTAATTATTTCAATTTGTATCTTAAATGATACTTAAAAAAAGATAATATAACCACAAATTATCACATCTTAAAAAATAAGCAATAATTCCTTAGTATCATTCATATTTTTCTATTATCTCTTAGGCATTTAAAAGAATATTTGGTAATTTGAATTAGGATCCAAACAAGGGCCATATGTTAGATTAGTTGATAAAAATATCTTTTAATCTGCAGGTTCTCCCCCACCTTTTTAAAAATTAAGACTTTATTAGAGCAGTTTAAGGTTCATAGCAAAACTGAGGTGAAAGTACAGAGATTTCCCCTCTGTCCCCTACCCCACACATGCACAACCACCACCATTGTCAGTATCCCCCACCAGAGTGGTACTTCTGTAATACATTTGTAATGTTTGTACCATGTAACATGGTATATACTGTACATTTGTTACTACAGTGGTACCTTAGATGAACCTACGTTGACATTTCATTATCACCCAACTTCCATTGTTTACATTAGGGTACATTCTTAGTGGTATACATTGTGGGTTTGGACAAATGTATAGTGACATGAATCCACCATTATAGTATCTTACAGAATAGTTTCACTGCCCTAAAAATCCTCTGTGATCTGCCTGTTTATCCCTCCCCTGCCAGCTCCTGGCAACCACTTAGCTTTTAATGTCTCCATAGTTTTGCTTCTTCCAGAATATTATATAGATGGACTCATATAATATGTAGCCTTTTCAGATTGACTTCTTTCACTGAGTGAAATGCATTTTAGAGTCCTCCATGGTTTTTCATGGCTTGATATCTCTTTTCTTTTTGTGTTTAATAATATTGCATTGTGATTGTACCACAGATTATCCATTCACTTACTGAAGGACATCATGATTGCTTCCAAATTTTGGCAGTTATGAATACAGCTGCTATAGCCATCCATGTGTAGGTTTTTGCTTAGACCTAAGTTTCCGACTCCTTTGGGTAAATATCAAAGAACATGATTATGTGGTAAGAGTGTCTTCAGTTCTGTAAGAAGGTCCATATATTATATTGGCTTATATGTCTCTTAAATATCTTTTAATCTGTAGGTTCCCCTTGGCACTCTCCCCCATTTTTTTCCCTGAAAAAATTTTGAGAAAGAATTTGGGTCATTTGTTCTGTAGCATTTTCCTCATTTTGGATTTCACTGATTTCATCCTTGTTGTATATAATTTTTTTAACATTCTTCTATCCCTTCTGTTTCTCATAAATTGCTTACTTGGATCTGGAACCTTGATCAGATTCAGGTTTAATGTTTTTGGCAAGAATATTTCATATAAGCTAGCCTCTACTTTCAACTATGTCACATTCAGGAGGCACTTGATGTCTGGTTGGATCTTTTTGTGATGTTAAAATTGATTAGTGGGTTTAGGCTTGTCTAACTTGATACACCTGTTACGGTGTTCCTGTTAAGATTTTGGTAGCCATTGATGATCACTGCTTAGGTCCATTATTTTTGTTTTCTAGTTAAAGGACTATTCCTATATGTTGAATAGTGAGCCCAGAAATATATTTTTCTAGAAAAAATGATCAAAAGCCTGATATTCAAGATCCTCCAGTAACTTGGCCCTACCTTACCCCTCTAGCCTTTTTATCTTCTATTACTCTGTAATACTGGAGTATTATAGAAGTTAGACCAGTCTTCTGGACCCTCCCCCAAACATTTAAATTCCCACTTCTAGACCATATCATAATGTCTTCCAGGCCTGAAATGTCCGCTCTTAACTCTCTGCCAATCCAGTTCTTTTAATGCTCACCTTAAGCCTCTGTGAGGGCTTCTCATTTCCCCAGCCAGGAACAATCTATCTTTTCAACTCTTGTGGCATTTTTAAAACCACTTTTTACTGTCGTACTATTTAAATACACAAGTGGTATTATCAAGTATGCCCAGTATGTAACTATTTGTATTCAGGTGTAAGGACCTTAGTTTAGAAGCTCCTTGAGGGCAGGTATTGCCTAATATATCTTTCTGTCTGTTTTCTAGCTTAGTGCCTTGAGAACTTGTTAGCCTATTTCTCTACAACTAGACTGTGAACTTGTTAAGGGCAGAGACCAAGGTTTAGTGGCATTTGACTTAACAGCAGTGCCAAGTACCTAGAAGATACTCAGTCAATATTTATTGGATAAATGAGTGATTTTATTTCAGAAAGCTGAAAGTGTATGGATTTTTGTGAAGAGCTACTCAATCATTGTAAAAAAAAAATTGGTCCCAGATATTTGATTCTCTAATTTACACAATGTGTATTGATTTTCAAGATACTCTGTTCAATTATTTCCTATCATAATATCTTTAGTTTTCTTTTTTTTCTCTTGCAAAGTTAATCCATCAATAAACGATTGCTTATCCAAGATAAGTTTCAGTTTTCTGCATAGCTCAGATGCCCAAGAAATCCAAGGAAAAAGAGAATAAAAAGAATTTGAAATATATTGCCTTTTTCTAAACTTATACCTTTTTTTAATGGCTTGGGACATTTGACCATTTGGGGGGGTTTGTATGATAATTTAGAAATTAAATTACACTAACTGTACTTTTACTTGATTAAAAATATATTTGTGAACTACTGTAATAAACTTAGTATTTACTTTCTTTCAGCTTGTTTGAATTTCCTGAAGTTGTGTAAAATAAAATATTACAATTATTGCCTTATTCACAATGTACAGGTGAGTTAGTGGATATTAGTTATATTCTTTGTTACTGGAACCATCTAGCAAACTCTGTGAATTAACAAAGCATCCTAAATGTTACAGAGGGATTTTATCATACAGACTGGTGATCCAACAGGGACTGGCCGTGGAGGAGAATCTGTTTTTGGGTAAGTTCTTTTATTTTTAAATGAGTGAAAATAGATTTGCCTCTTAACAATGTTAACTAGCATGTTTCAATCTGCATCTTAAAATATGGTTCAAGTATAGATTTTCCCCCCAAGTTCCATAAATGTCTATAAGCAAAAAAAAGACTATTTTGAATCATAGTGACATTTCTATAAAGAAATGGTAACTCTATATGCTAACTCTAGTGCCCTATATATAACTCTAGTCCTGTATTTCATGTTGAAGGTACTTATATTTTATAACCTTTTTATGTGTATTTTTAGTCAACTGTATGGCGATCAGGCAAGCTTTTTTGAGGCTGAAAAAGTGCCAAGAATTAAGCACAAGAAGAAAGGCACTGTGTCCATGGTGAACAATGGCAGCGATCAGCATGGATCTCAGGTTAGGAAATGGGTGAGGAGATGAGTTTTGCTGGAGGGATCCCAGAAAATTATCTTTTTGAACTATCATCAGGGGAGAATTTTGATCAAAGGTATTTGTTAGAAGAAAAAGATTGCACTATTTTTTTCCATATAAAAAAAGCTTTATTATGTTGTTCTTTTAAATGTAAGGCATGTCCATTGTGAGGAATTTAGAAAATACAGAGAAGTACAAAGGAGAAAATAACATTACCCACAAGCCCAGTCCCACTTTCATGGATCATCACTGTTCACACTGTGGCCTGTTTCCCTTCAGTGTTTGTTACTTACTTCAAAACAGGTTATGTTGAGCACCTTTAATTCATTGTCACAACAGCCCCATTGGGGTAGAAGCTTTTTTTTTTCTTACAGTTTACGTGTGAAGAAACTGAGATTTGGTTTGTTCAAGTATTTTAAACAGTTAGGAGAGCATCTGTGTATGTGTTGATATTTTATGTTCAAGCTTTGTGCTTTTTATTTAGTACTAGTGACAAGTGGGTAAGAATTCTTGCAGTTAATATAGAGTCTTACTTTTGTGTATTTTTTGTCAGTGTGTAACTGATTTCAGTTTGAATTACATGTATATTTTTGTGTTTATTCTATGTCTTTCTATATAGTTTCTTATTACTACGGGAGATAATCTAGATTACCTTGATGGTGTTCACACAGTGTTTGGTGAGGTGACGGAAGGCATGGACATAATTAAGAAGATTAACGAGACCTTTGTTGATAAGGACTTTGTACCATATCAAGATATCAGGTATGTACGGTTTACTATCTCAATGTACTAGAATGTTTTGATGCTGTGTTGTTTGGTATGTAGAGGTGATGGCGTACAGAGTATTGATTTTTGGATAATTCTGAACTGTGAATTAATACAAGACTCTAAGAATCTTTGTAATAGAGAAGACCTCTTTTAAAAAAAAACAAGGCACTTGTACTAATTATTTATAACTGCTTGTGTCAGAAGGAATTATTAATCCTCTAATTTAGTTTTTTAAAAATACAGATTATTGAGAAATATGGCAAAATCACAAAGATTTACACATTCATATTATACCTTAGTGTAATGTAGAGTAATAAATATAGTATCAAACAATGAAAAATAGTACAGTAATTGTGAAAGTATACTCTAGTAATATCCTTGTGCAATAACATTTAAGAACTTACAGTCTTCCTGGCATTAGAGTTACTTAAAACATTTCTTATTGTTATAAAAAGTAAAACATGGGTTTTGAAATAACATACACGTAACATTTGACTTGGATTTATTTTGTAAGGATAAATCATACAGTGATTTTAGATGATCCATTTGATGACCCTCCTGATTTATTAATTCCTGATCGATCACCAGAACCCACAAGGGAGCAACTAGATGTAAGTAGAGTCATCTTGTGATTGAACATACATACATATTAGTGCTTTGCATAGATTTCACTTTATAGACTATTGAACTTACTTCTTCAGGATGATTATCTTGCTTGATCAAGAATACTAGGACAAATTTAGAGTTTTTTTTCTCTTCCATGGTGATACTCATTTTCTAGGTATCTAGTTCCCTAATATGCTTTCTTTAGTTTCTGTTCCACCAGAACATCTTTAGCTCTGGAAGTTTATATGAACACCTTGGGAAAATGTTTATCTTATCTCTTAACTCTAAATAAGAGTGTATGTAGCTTTAAGGCTAAATTAAATTATCATCTTGTGAAGGAACTTGTCAACTGGGGATACTCTGGAGCCAGGGTAGAACCCAGAAATCTCTGTGGAATAAAGGAGACATTTCCTTCAGGTCTTTAAATGTATAAATTTCTGTTTATTAGGTTTCCTCAAAGCTGAATTTTCCTTATAATTGGAATTTGATGCTTAATTTCTAAGATCATTTATCTTCTGTATTCACCTCTTAGTTGGATATCAGGTAGTTTTTATATAAATGTTTATTTTGATTTAAAAATAAATTAGAAGCCTAATCTGGCTAGTAATTTTTGAATTAATTTAAACCAGTTTTCATAAGTTTGTAAGTTTTTTCACATTTGTGAAACAAATGTGTTTTATTCTAACATATTTGCTGAAACTAAGAATAAAGCATAATGTCTCCCATGTTTTTTAGATGTTTCTATTCTTTAAATGTATATCTGAGTAACTTCTGCCTTACAGAGTGGTCGAATAGGAGCAGATGAAGAAATAGATGATTTCAAAGGAAGATCAGCTGAAGAAGTAGAAGAAATAAAGGCAGAAAAAGAAGCCAAAACTCAGGCTATTCTGTTAGAAATGGTAAGATAATTACTTTGTTCAAACACTTGTTCAGCAATATATTTAATACATATTCTCTGTGAGTTTATTTCTGGCTTTTTGATAGTCTTAAAATATTAAAAATTTAGCTAAGAATTTTTTTCTGGATTGAATTTTATATGACATAATAATACATACGAAAGTAAACAAATTTGATTCCATTTTCAATATAGAGACAAGGGCCTTTTTAAAAAATGGTAAGTGGGTATCCAACTTAACAAATATTAATTGGATCTCAATTGTTTATACCCGCCTCATTTTTAAAGAATTTTTTTGGACTGAATTTTCAGTGTATTCAAGAATAATTCTTTATACATCTCAAGTATTGAGATTTAGTAGCAGAATTTAATAGGGTAAAATAAACCTAGGCAGAAATTGAACACTCTAAAATATACTCCATTTCTGTATTACTAAAAATATCTGGGGAAGAGTTATTTAGTAGTTGATTAACTGACCTACTAGGCATTTTTTCCATTTCTTATTTTTGTGGAAAAGGTATACCTTTCATTCACATAAATTATCAATAAATATTGGAATAGTAGATAATAATTTAAGTTTTTATTACTGTTATTTTATATAGTAGAGCTTTTAGATTCATTATTCTAAAATTCATACTAGCATCACTAGTCTGAAGGAACAAATATTAAAGATTGTAATTCAAGAAAACTTTACTGAATTAAAAAAATTAAAAACAAACAGTTTAATAAGCACATTAGAAGTCTAATTCATTGCTGGTGAGAATGTAAAGTGGTAATTCACTTTCGAAGAGAATTTGGCAGTTTCTTACAAAGCTGAGTGATACAATCCAGCAATTGTGCTCCTAGGTATTTACTCAAATGAGTTAAAAATTATGTCCACACAAAAATCTGCACACAAATGTTTATAGTAGCTTTATTCATACTTGCCAAAACTTGGAAGCAACCAAGATGTTTTTAATAGGTGAATAGATAAACAAACTGTGGTATACCCATATTGAATACTATGTAATTATTAATAGAAATGAGCTATTAAGCCATGAAAAGACATAGAGGAACTTTAAATACATATTGCTAAATAAAAGAAGCCAATCTGAAAAGGCTACACACTGTACAACTCCAACTGTATGACTTTCTGGGAAGGGCAAAACTGTGCAAACAGTAAGAAAAGATCACTGGTTGCCAGTAGTTATGGGGAAGGAAGGATGAATAGGTGGAGCACAGAAGATTTTTAGGGGCATGAAACTATTCTGTATGATACATGGCATTTGTCAAAATCTATAGAATGTACAACACAAAGAGTGACTCCTAATGTAAATTATGGACTTCAGTTAATAATCTATCAATATTGGCTCACCAATTGTAACAAATGTACCACAGTAATGCAAAATGCTAATTAAAAAGGTAAACTGTTGAGAAGGGTGGAGTCCATGAGAACTCTACTTCATGTTCAGGTTTTCTTTAAACCTAAAAATGCTCAATAAAATAAAAGTCTGTTTATTAAAAACAAAAAAAGGAATCCATGAGTCCAAACTAATAATGAATATATGATAAGTAGATAATAAAGGAGTGCTCTTCCTTATAGTAGAAGGCAGGCTGGCGGACCATATAGAGATGTGGTAAAACTATAGATATGTAAGGGACTAGCCAAAAAGGAAAACTAAAAATTGCTCATTTGTGGTGAGAGAAGCAGAGGGATGATGGCATCAGGGGACATTTTAGTTCTTAAGCTAGTTGGTGGCATCATGGGTATCCTTTATTTTCATATTTCATAACTTAGATAAAGTTTACATAAATTCTTTTTAAAATATATCAAATACTTGGTGAAGAAAAAGTGGAGATAAAATCGGGCTTTGAAGCCAGGTAGACCTGGGTTCAAGTCCCAACTCTGTTGCTTACAACTGTATAGCCTTG